AGTCGACAATTCAAGAAGTCCGCAGCAGCTTTGCACGCCATGCACGCAAAAAAGAAAAATGCTGCACGTAGGCGACGTGACAGCAGAAGCAACAAAATGCTCGTGAGGCGATGGGCACCTGCGAGGGCAACAGCAAAAGGCGCGAGCTGTAGTTGCCTGATCAAAACTTGCAAAACAGCAACAAAAAATAAAAGGCGAAAGAAGGATGACGTTCGCTCCTTCGTTCCTGCTCACCGAGCCCACAGGTACACGGAAAAGCATGAGAAAGAGAAACGGGGAAAAAAAAAAAGAAAGCTGTTTCGCAAGTTGGAGATTGTGCAGTCCGAGCACTCTCACCTTTACCTTCTCTCCTCCCCCCCCCCCCCCCCCCCCCCCGAGCGTTTCTGGTTTTGGTGGAGGTGTGGTCCCACGCAGAGGTCACTGAGCGTTGCGAGTGGTTTAGCACGCCTTCCAACTCGCGCGCGGGAGATCCCGCGTGGGGGCAGTGCAGAAGCGCACCTTGCAGCTTGTGCGGCATTCGATATATCCGAAGCATCAAGCATCAAGCATCAACATCAAGCATCTCGGCACTAAAAGCAGAGATTAACTTATCCGATCTGGCTAAGCGCTGCAAAATCGCACGTCTTAACCTTTATTATAAATTCTTCCATTCTTTGCCTTTAGATAACCCATACATCAGAAGAGCCCACCGCATTTCCCGCATCAGTCACTGTAACGCAGTATATCCACCACAAGCCCATACTGTGACCTTTCAGCAATCGTTTTTCCTGCGCACAGCCCAAGACTGGAATGACCTGCCCACCGAAGTCGCCACCATCATCGACACCCAAGAATTTAAACGGCTAATCGAAACTATCCCATCATAACTGCCATTATATTGTTAGCCTTTGTAATACCCACTCCCTCATGTAATATCCCAACCGGGACCTTTGAGGTAATAAAATGAATGAATGAATGAATGAAAGCGGGTAAAAATACCATGCGATATAAACGTGCGAATTTCTGTACTTTTACAAAGTAATTTCAAGGGGATAACTTGTGAGTTCAATATACCCGAAAATTCTATACACGTGGGTTCGATATAACTAATCAGCGGTCTTGTACTGCAGGCAACCAAGTAGCTACCTCTGGACATAACTTTGACCCATATCGTATTTACTCGCGTAATCCTCTCGCTCACATAATTCTGGCACCCCCCACATCGCCCAACAAAAATACGATCTTTTTTTTTTTCATGTAATTATCGCACCCCCGTAAAATGCCGCAATAATGTTGTCTGCTCATTCCAGCCGTTGATGATGATAGCGTGTGCCATCTCTTAAGCATCAAGCATACTATTATTGGCCGGAGATTCAATCCAATCCAAGCCAAGCCAAAGCAGCAAGTGCACATTGCGGCATGTTTTGATTGTTGTGTCTGTAATCTTGTCACGTTATGAAGCGATACTGAAGCTGCGCGAATGCTTTCAAGTTGAAAGTGATTGATCATGCACTAAACAACGGCAACAGGGTCGCCGCTAGGCCCTTCCGAGTCGACGAGTTTTCTGTTCCCTATTGGTGACGGCAGCTGAAAGCCACCAAGACGCGTTGGGCCTGCCGTGTGCATAAGACTGAGATTGATGGTAAACTTTATTTCTTCAGAAGGAAACTGCGGACTATTCTGTTAAATAGCCATCAGTCCAATACTGACATCGTACGCTTACCATTTGAGGGCTGTTGAGTGACGAACGCTACCGCTACGCCCGCAATGCCCACAAGCATTGCATATGATTTTCTAATTCTCGACTATTTGGTTGCACTTTTTGTGTCTCAAATAAATCTTGCCATGTGTTGAACCTCTGCTTTTATTGTTGAGGTAAATTTCAATTAGTACCGCTCAAAGCTTGCTGTTAGTTGCTTGTGTGAGAATACCGATTTGCGGCCACTTCGTTTTCTTTTTCGCTCTGTACGTTTTCGTGAAAAGTTTTCCCCGCGTAATTCTCGTACGCCCCAACTTTCTATCGGTTTTCCACCCAAAAAAAGTGCGAGAATTATGCGAGTAAATACGGTAGCCACCATGTGCGGATACATGGCTCTCGAAATTTGCGGTTTCTCTAAGTTTCAGTGGTTTCCTATAGCACTTTAATGCTGCTGGTTTAGACAAGTGTGCAGGAATATTCGAGAAAATTCAAGGAAACGCACCATGCTTAGGTGTCCATATACCACATGAAAGTTTCACGTTTTCCCTTACGATGTGCTCGCAGCAAGTGGTTAGGTCCTCGGATTCAAAATGCCAAAAAGATTTTTCATGGAATAGCAGCTGTTCAGGTCCTGAAAACTGCAGGGTAATTTTGGGGGCCTTGAAAAAGTGCCGCCGATCGCAAGTGTTTTCCTCAGAGACATAGCCACTTCGACAGCCTGGCGCTCCGCAGGTCGGCATGTTTACTATGTTAAACTGCTAATTTCATCAAGAATACTTAATTGTCGTGTAACATGTTAAGTACTATTGCGATGACCAAAATCTAACCTTTCATTCAAGCTCCCGCCGCTGTGATCTGAGCAAGCGAACTAAAAAAAAAAAATCAAAGCTACCGCGGGACAGCGCTGGCTCAGCGCTATGCCAGCGCTGCTCCTCGGAGCAAACACGAGTTGGGGCCGCCTCCAGAGTGAGCTTTTCCAATGAACAGTATCTAAAAACGTTGTCACAATATATATATATATATATATATATATATATATATATATATATATATATATATATATATATATATATATACATGCGCACATACACACACACACACACACAGTTACACCTCGATATAATGAAATTGACGAATTCCCGGAAAAATTCTTTATAAAAAGGATTTCGTTATATGCAGGTTTGATACGAAAACTAGAAAAATAAAATCACATTTTTAACAAAAGGGGAACTAAAGACAGAGCTAACCTAAAACACTTATTTGGCAGCAAAAAAACTGCATTATTATAATGATAGCAACTATATGGACACTCTTGGCGGGTTGTTGCCATCGCCACCATATTCCATAACAAGTCCATATTGATAACATGCCCCTGCGCATTGTAACTTTTACAAGCGGGTAAAAACACGCGAATGCTGCTGAAGTAGAGATCAGATAAGCCGGCTCACCTCTATCACCTGGAAGGCTTAGCGATAACATTCCTCCGCGTGTTGAAACAGCTGTCGAATGCCCATACAAAAAGCAAACCACCCGTCATAAACGAACATGAAAAAACGCAAGGGTGGGGTGGGTCGCCCGAGTAGCAGCGGTCGACTTTGATTCTAAGGGCGCGGTCGCAATCGCTGGTGCAAGTGCTATCTCGGCAAGCATCAAGCGAAGAAACTGTGAAAACAGCAGTTCTCCCTGACAGAGAGAGAGGTAAACTAATTAATTTCGGGCAGATTGCTGGGCTTGGCTCTCTGAAGCGGCCACATTTCGTAGGAGTTCCGCGATACCGTATCCAAAAGAGTTTGCTACCAGCCGTATTTCATGTAACACTACAATTTGTTGCTATCACGTTCATAGCATTGCGTTCAACGCACCGTTGTGTTGTTGCCAGAGCTAATCAGCTAATAGCAAAGGCTACGGTCTCGCGGTGTGAAAGCACATGACAAATCGACCTCCGAAGATCCGTCCTAACCGCAGTCTTAAAAAGCTTTCATCAGTGCTTAATCTTAAATCCCCGTGGTAGTGACGACACAGTTGTCTGCACTAAAAAAAGCTCTTCGTTTTTGATGGTCTGTGCGCGTGCATGATTATGCATGCGCCTGGTGTGGCCACCCAACGATGCTCAGCGCAGCCCCCCATATGTGAACCTACCTATATAAAAGCGTGGCACTGCCAACGCAAAAGTAGTTTTCTTTTTTTGGTTTTTTGGTTTGGAGGAGGAGTGGCCAGCTCAAGGGGTGCAGACAAGCCTGCCCGCCTCGCACGTGTAATTATGAGAGCTTGCTCTCGCTCTCACTTGGGAGTCGCCGCGGCCACAAGCGCACCACGCGCTGCCACTGCTTTGTGCTTTGTCGGGGCAACCGCGGATTTTAAATGCTTGTGTAAAAATGATTAAATCCGGGGCAAAATTCTGAGACTGTCCATGGCGAAAATTTGTTATATCAAAGATGTCTATAACTGTTACTTCGTTACATAGAGGTCGCAAATACACAGTCTTCTATGAAGTAACGGCAGGGAATATAAATATTTCGTTATATTGAGGAATTCTTTACAAGCAGGTGTAACTGTGTGCATGTGTATATGATAATGAAAAATAATGAAATCTAACAGAACATTATTTTACTATTGTGTCATAACACGGAAAAACGAACCCTTAAGTATCCACTTCAATATATATATATATATATATATATATATATATATATATATATATATATATATATATATATATATATATATATATATATGTATGTATTGTAATGCTAGATACTCGTAAAATACTAAAGCTGTGAAATATTAAAGAGTGAAGCGATATCCAGTTTTTTCTTCGCTCTTCCTCGACACACAAATGTTGGCGTATGTTTTTGGCTAGTTTTGCCACATTGTAAGAAGGCATTATTGGCTCGCATTAAGTGGTTTAAGGAGTGACAAAAGCAGCAGATGTTTTCCACTACAGACAAGCAAAAAGTATGAATAAATGAATTTCCCAAAAGAAGAAGTTTTAATTATCAAATACATCAGAAACATAGCTCCCTAATAAAAAATTTAAAGTTAGCTTGAATCAATTGAAAGTTAATATTATGGCAAAACTACTGCCGAAATGAATGTACATGCATTTTGAAGTATTATAATTTTTTGAGAAAGTTCCAAATGAATGATAGAATGGTTTGCGCATATGAGATAAATTGAATTTAAAGGGGAAATTTCATGCATTTTGTGAAGTCCAGTAGTACTTTTCATCATAGCAGTGAGAAGCAACCTCTTCAAATAGTGCTGGTGAATATCAGTTTGCAAGTAACAAACATAAGGTAAAGCCGAGAGGAGAGGCACTTACATGTACCGCTCATCCATGCGAGAGTCCTCACGACCAGAGTGCTTGGTGTTCACATCGGGCCCACCACGGCGGGTGCCACCCAAGCCACCACCTGCAAAGGCATTATTTTGTAAAAGTGGCAATGCACATCACTTCACTCAAGAAAGCTGCCAAACTTTTCCGAAAGGAAGTGCATGCAGCCCCTGGGAAAATTGTGGGTCTTTGAAACATGGTTTAGACAGTTGAATGAAATTTTTGTGGCAATACATACAATTATTTTCTACACTCATCTCCTGCATAGCCTGGCCGGGTTTCATTATTATGTTAGCACAGCTAGCCTTCGCTTCTTAGTGGTCCTAAAGTGCTCTTAAATAACAAAGTACGAACCCATCATTCCTAGGGTAGCTGAACCAGGGCTTGTTTACAGGACTCATCGTGACTGGTCACTTTGGGAGATGTATCAACGAAAGTGTAGTGACGTGAAGCAACCTAAGCAGTTTCCACAAAGTGCTGCATGCATCTCAATTGCAACTACACATTTAAAGAGTGAAATAATGCTTAAGACCACAAGTGATGCTATCGATGTCTTCCATATTGGAGCAGCAAAATTTTCCGTTTGGAGCACTTTGGAGCATGAAAATTTTCTGCTTTGCAGCATTCTGAAGGAGCTAACTTCAATGTTTTTAGAGGAAGCCAGTTGCATTTACATTCAAGGACATGAAAAATTATTCTGAGGGTCTTGTGAAGAGCTAGAAATATTTAGATTCCTTGCAAATTTTATGGAGCCAGTCATCTTAGAATGAATCCCAACTTCAGTTGATGATGATAGAATAGTAACATCATTCTGTTGAGCATTCTGGAAAAACTTGTTCAGTGATTATTTTCGTAGCAAATAAACAGAATGCTGGTTGAATAAAATTGTACATTACGAAATAACATAAATACACCTATGTGGTAATGAGCAGATATGGTAGACAAACGCTGTGACGTACAACGCTAGAAAGTCACACAGTTCCAAGATGACTTCAAGAATAAAGAAAGGTTCTTTTTCTTCATGACCCATTAGACTGGTAGGCGTAACATGATGTCATTCAGCTAGCCTCAGAACGCCAACATTCTCTGGCACTCATCTCTGTGCTAAAACTACACAACAAACATCATTTTCCTCTTGTAGCGACATTTTGTGTGGCTAGGGCATGCTGTCTATACTCCAAAAAACCCTCTACCGTCTCCTCTAGAAAGCAGTGCATAAAAAAAAAAAAAAAACCTCACAGGGTCCCTTATGACTGATGAGTGTGGCGAGTTGGGGGGGTTGGTAAAGATGCATGACTTCGATATTTTAGTGCCAAATAAACGTGGTTTGAAGTTAGCGCTCATGTCGTCTACGTCTCTCTTTTTTTTTTTGTCTCCGTTTTTTTTTGGGGGGGGGGGGGGGGGCTAAGATATTGAAGTTATGTTCCTTATGAATATGCCTGATTGATTGATTGATTTGTGGGGTTTAACGTCCCAAAACCACCATTTGATTATGAGAGACGCCGTAGTGGAGGACTCCGGAAATTTGGACCACCTGGGGTTCTTTAACGTGCACCCAAATCTGAGTACACGGGCCTACAACATTTCCGCCTCCATCGGAAATGCAGCCACCACAGCCAGGATTTGATCCCGCGACCTGCGGGTCAGCAGCCGAGTACCTTAGCCACTAGACCACCGTGGCGGGGCTTATGAATATGCCTAAGACGACTAGAAGGCAAGAGCCATTGTATTTTAGTGTAATAGCATTTATATGAACATTCTAGACTGGATTTTACCATTGCCAATGGTGTAGCCAGAAATTTAAAAATTGGGGGGGGGGGGGAAGAGGGGGCACCTTGATTTGAGGGGGCGGGGCAGGCAAAATGTCATTGTCATTGTGCGCTATATATGCCATGGATAAAAATTTTGCAAGGTGGCGGGGGGGGCATGTTCTCAATGTGCCCCCCTCCTCTGGACCTTACACCACTACACCACTGGTTTGAGTAATGTCCAAATCGATAACATCCCCCGGCACACACCCGGGAAAAAAAGCATGAGCGGGGGCGACGAACGTGGCCAGAGGTAAAAAGAGCCAGCCGTTCTAAGTCACCCAAGAAACAGCACTTTTTACGAACTATCTCCTTTGCACTGAGGGCGGATACAATAACATCACCCCGCATGCCAGGCCTCCCATCGATTGTTACTCAAGCGGAGAGGAACGCACCACCCGTGTCCAAGGATCAGAAAGTACCTAGAAACCTGGGGGGGGGGGGGGGGGGGCTTTGTTGTGGAATTCGACTTTATGGGTGTGATGGCAGGCGTGTGCGCTATTTACGGCTGCTATACCCTTCTACCTTGTATTCTCAACACGAACATACTTTGCCAAAAGTGCTTAGCTTTCTAGAGTGCCATATAAGGGTATGCATTGAGCCTCGATCGCAAGGCGGCCGCACCATCGTTGCGTCATTCGTACGTTCCGTTCGTGCTGTACAGATCGAATCACACTTGTCTAGAGCAGCGGACTGCGTACCTGTCGACACTGTTGTTGCCCGCAGCTACTATTTCAAATGGCTACAAGCTTCCGTTGATGCTTACATCATAGCACAAAGGCCTAACATGTACCCTGTATGACCATGCTTGGTATCATTACGACATCTCTCTTTACATATTTTTGGAAAAAAAAAAACTCCAGGCCTAACATGTACCCTATATGACAATGTTTGGAATCATTACGGCATCTCTCTTTACATATTTCCAGGGAAAAAAAAAGCACCAGCTGGGCGCTGTAGACATGTCTGATTCTACCTGTACGTGCATCGGCGTTCAAGAGATGTTCCACGGGTTTCTAGTCACCAAAGTCGTGGATATTGAGCAACGCGCGTGCAGCAAGTTTTTGCGAGTGGGGCAAGTGCACAGACCTTGGAAATAGCAACCCCGCCGCTAGCCTTCTCATGGACAACGTCAAGCCTTACTATTTGTTATAAAAATAAAATTTGTTGGTATCACATTAATTCGTAAGAGCGTAAGTGAAACTGACAAATCGTATCTTTTGGATCTGATATCGCGTAACTCAACAAAAGAACGTTGGCTAGAAGTACAATATGATCACTCCAGGTGCCAAAGCGGTTTTCGAGCTGTTAGTTATGTAAACGCGAAGCAGAGGTTAGTAGCAAAAAAAGTTCACGAGGAGTCTCATTATGCCTCAAAATAGTGTGCGCCAGCTACTGCACCCTTCAAGTGGCCCAGCAGCCTCCCTCGCTCCCCCTCCCTTCAAAACGAAGCAATGAATGGGATGCCGTGATCTCCAATTTTTTCTTTAATCGTAAGCTATTGACCCTGGAAAGCGAGATGCAAATGTGTGACAAGGCGTAGTTGCATCACAGGCCTTTTGATACCAGAGCAGCGAGGGAATGGCTTCACTATAGCTGCGCATATTCAAACCGAATGATGGCTGCTCTGACCAGCAGGCATGATTTTTTTAATGATATGACATTTAAAAAGAAAGCACGCGAAAATTTCCAATTTGAATCCTAGCAACACGAGTTCGACAGGGCAGGGTCTTTAGGGGCTTTTAAAACTGCTGCAGTGATTATAAACGCAGATGTGCTGGTGGAAGGAATCCAAAAAAAGCTTTTCTGTGTGATGACCCATGGATCACCGTATAGAAAAGCTTGGCGATCCTGATAATATCAGAAAAGCATGGGCCATCCTGATAATATCAACAGACATTGCGCCGAAGTCGGATTCAGGAGCGTCTATCACTGGCAATAGACATGCAGGCACGTCAATACATGCGCATCTTGTCTTGGGACCACTGAAGTCACAATCACGTACTTACTTTATTACGCTGAATACAGCGGTCGCGCATGCGTCTTAAAATCCACGATGCTATGTTTGGTGCCGACGCAACTTCTGTAGTGCAAATTTACTTAACGACAAAATGTCCTCTCCCCAGGCGTTTATGACGTCTAGTCCAATCAGTACCATAAAACTGTGGGGGCGATTCATCGCTGGACGTCGTACGTTCCAGGAATGCTGCTCACAGCTCGTTTGAAGAGTTGCGCGACATGTAATAAAGCGATGTTCACTAATAACTGCACACGTGTCGCCAAAATGTTTGTCACGTCTACTTCTGAACATAGCGATCTAATTTTCCGTGCTTTGCATCCACAGATGAACACGTGAATGATGGGAACGCGTAATAAAATAAGTACATGATTGTGACTTCAGTGGTCCCAAGACAAGATGCACACATATTGGCGTGCCGGCGTTGATGATGATGATAATGTATGATGTTTTGTGCCGCAAGGGCCATTTCATGGCCAAAGAGCACCAGTTCATGTTACAAGAGATATGGACAATGATTGCGATGATAAGCGGCTGTATATGGGCCAAAAAATTCCTCGCTCTAAGGCGGGTTAAAACATAGAAGTAATAAAAACATGACCATGCCGTGAATAGTGCGTGGTGTTAATGCATGACAAAAGTTTGTGATAATAAAACGATGATGGACATGTATGGCATTAGCACAAGTGCCTCCATCATTCACACCCTTGCGTCCAAGGGCCGTGAGACAAGTGCTTTGTTGAGTGTAGCCACCGGAGCGGAGACCTCTCGGGAGAGGTCGTGCTACGGAATGCCCGGGTATATAATATGAAAAATATGAACCTCTCTTAAAAAAGCTAACAATGTGTAACAATTTATGTGTAAAAAGTGGTTCCCTACCGACGAGCATTGCAGGGTGAAGGGGTATCTCCTGTCGGCAGGGTAATGGAAAGTGTTGTCTTCTTAGCATGTCTAATTCTTTGCACTGGATGAGAATGTGAAGTACGGTGAGCGCTTTTCCACATCTTTCACGCAAAGGTGGATCGCCACCAGACAAAAGAAATGAATGTGTAGTGTATGTATGTCCTGTTCTTAACCTTGTGAGTATTACTTCTGTGTGGCGTGATTTTGATACTGGCGGACAATGACCAAGTTGCGGCTTGATGACATGCAATTTATTACTTGTGTGTGCGTCCAATGTGCTTTGCCAATAATCCCTGAGCTTTCGTTTTAGAAAGACTTTAAAGTCGAGTGCAGGAAATGATATTGATGTAT